GAAGCGCTGGAAAGCATATTTCTAAAATGAAACAGCCCTTCCCCAGCTTCCCCTGGTGAGCAACTGGTTAGAAAACCCAGTAGGTCGTCCTCGGTGCATAATGCAGTGTCTGCTCGGACTGCTGCAGCAGTGTGCAAAGACATGGAAGGGTCACGTTGGCTCTAGCCGGCTCATCTCTTCGGTAGCAGCCCGGCTGCCAGTACCTCTAGACAGTAGTACTCTGATGGGAACTTCTCAGAAGAGCAGTCCCTGGAGCATTACTGTAGTGAAGCAAAAGTTGAGTGGGAAACTGCCCGAGGGAAGTGGATCTTGTTTCTAGATTTCAATCTGGCAAGCAAGCCTCATGGGTCCTCCTCTGGTTTCCAAATGAGCCCTGAGAAAGCATCATCACATCTGGCTATTTTGAGGTTCATTTAATATCGGTGAGGCAGACAATGGTGAAATGCAGGTGGAATACAAATAGTGTTAATATTCACTGTGCCATACCTAAAAATAGGTGCTGGTGAAGGCAAAGATCGGAAACACTTGACTTCTATGGAAACTGAAACATGAGTGAAGGTAACATCTCAGGGTGAAAGGCAACATTTTGGGTCCTACATTCAGGAAGGGAGCATGTGCCTTCCAAAACCGTGCTGCTCTTGTTTCCTCCTGAATATTTTCTCACTGGCGGCCTTGACCAATTCCTTTTGCATAGTGCGAGACACACGTTGCAGATGCAGGGAAGGCAGTAAATTGCTTTCCTGAACGGGGCCTCTGCGCTTACTTTGGCTAGTACGCAATCCCACTGTGTACTTTCCGAAACCAAAATTTGCTTGGCACTTGTTAGTGATTTTTGGAACCTGCTCGAAGCACAGAAAAAACACCAAACAACACATCTTAAATATAAGCTGGCCAAACCTTTGATAGAAGCCTTTTTGTCTTTGCAGGAGGCCTCTGGAGCACACTAGAAAATACATCACACTGGAGCAAGGAGAATGTATTACTCAATTAGTCTGAGATGTGCTGGTTTAAGGACAATTTCTATACATTCTGAAGGTGGAAGGCCAGAACAGAATAGTATAGGTTTTTTCATGCAAAGAAATAGTCCTAGGCTTTTGTTCACATATGCTGCCACCTATATGTCAGATAGTCCCTAACTTCAAGGAGTAAAACACACCATATTACAAATCAGATTATCATATTTTCCCCACTTTTCCATTCTTAACTTTGACATACACTATCAAACAATATGATCAGTACTTCCCCAGTACGTGGAAAATATTTTGTTCTAGAACTGCAGAAAAACCAAAGCTGATTTACAAGTTAATTTTTAAAATATACTTTTCTCTGCACTTACAAGGTAGTAATAGCTCGTAAAACACTGGGAACATCTTAACTCTATCAACCATTGCAATCTAAAAAATGCAAAGTTTCAGACCACCCGCACAGATGGTATTTTTCATGCTTCTGTATTTGCATACCAGAAAGACTTTCATTTTTCTCTCTCAAAGTACACATGTAAAATCAATCACAAAGCAGAAATCATGGTAAGACCTTTAAACTGGCTTAGAAGTCCTTCTTGCCAAGATTATCAAATCATGGGAAACTTGGGGAGCTATGATTTTCATTACAGTGTTTGGGGGTTTGTTTATGGTTTTTTTGTTGTTGTTGTTGTTCCTCAAGGGAAGTTGATTTCCTAAAGGAATATGACCAGCTGCAACAAAATACCAGGAAACCACTGACCAAGCAGTGCATATAAAAATTTAAGTGAACAAATTAAAAACAATACTGGCTAATTAAAAAGTACCAATGGGAAGTCCAAGCATTTGAAAATTCAATTAAAAAATCTCTGGCACCCTTCTGACATGGATAAAGTTGGCATTTGCAGAACAGCAGCTTTCTCACCTGTCTCATTGAGATCCCAGGATCCCATGCTGGAAGGGTTGTTTTTGTACATTGCAGTGCTGTTAATTAATGCTGAAACACTAACAATAGACCATTGTGTGCATCCAGGCACTTTTTATGAGCACGGGGTTTTTTTTCCCCAGCTTCCCGCAAATAAAGTATGGCTTAAGCTCAGATTCACTGTCAACCTGGCATTCCAGTTTATATTAAGTTTCTTTTAATTCATACCTTTTGTTTTCTCCTCTTGTCGTTTTCAGAGCCTACCTCCTCACTTAAAGGCAACTAGTATTTCACAGATGCGTGCTAGGCAAATAAATGCCCCGCAAGGTGAGGTCCAGGAGAGACACGAGGAGGTATTCATCAAAGACAAGCTGAGAGAAACGGAGGGGCTCGACATCAGGGAAACTCTCCAGGATCAGATTGGCCAGTGTTTCATCGAGTGCCGGTGAGCAGAGATCAACACTTGCCCCTTAACAAGTCCATTGCCCCAGGGAGCCTGATTTTGCACTTACAAATTACAAAATCCATCTTAGGGTAGTGATCCCAGTCCCAGCTGCAGAACTAGTTCTGCAGTTCCCAAACGGCAGGACTCCTGACTGGGGAAACCAAAATAGTGCGCATGACTCCTCGCACAGTCCAGCAGGGATCAGAGGTGCACCTTGAAAGACTGACAGCAGATCAGGTCCGCAGACATCAAAGCGGGGACACATTCAGACCGCATGTTAGCTTGGGCTCAGGCTTTGTAATTAGGAGAAGCATACTTAAAGTTTAGGAACACTGACTTTTTTCCCCTGTCTAAATACGTAAGGTTTAAGAGGGAGAACGCAGTCTTCCGTGAGATAGAAGTATAATTATTTGCTATAGCAAATCACATCACGTCACTGGTACTGCAATCCAGGTGCCTGCTGCTGGTATTATCCAGCAGCCGATATGAGTCTGAAGTACATTTGTACTTGAGGCCTGACCTTCAAGACACTCCTCCAAACGTAACTTTACTTAAGTACTGCTGCTGATCTCAGTGAAACTTCACGTCTCAGTAGAGTTAAGCACATACTTACGCATTTTCAAACCGAGCGCTGACACCTATAGTTCTCTCAGGAAGTTTACATTAGCTGAAGAAGTTCTGAGACTGACAATTTTAATATGGCAATACTGTAAGCCTTGTACTAAGGAATACAGGATGGTTTTATGATTTAGGTAATTTTTTCCAGGTTTTACCCCACCCGGTGGGTTAGTAGGTAAAAGTAAATTGGGAAGCGGCCCCCGCAAGGATTTAGCGGAAGGGTTTCGGCTGCCCTGCCTAAAACTGCTCTGCAAAAACACTTCCAGTATTTCTGTGTCTTGAGCTGCTTAATGATGTTACAGGGCTCATATTAGTCTTGTAGACTAATGTCATGTCCATTAATCACATTCAGCTTTCCCCGCCCCCCCCCAGTGTACCAGACCTACCTTCAGCATGCAGTTTCCAGTTGGAAACACAAATGCATTCTGATGAAATCCTGCTTTATTTATTAAAAAATAAATTTATTCCTTGATTACTTTAATCGGGTTTTGGTAGATATACAGCAGTGCAGTGTTTGCCTTTTTTTTAACAATCACAAATAGTACTCTCGCAGGCCTGTCATAATCTATTTATCTTCTTTCTTTTACTTTTGCCTCTTAAAAGACACTCGAGACTTTAGTATATTTTTTACCCCACCTAGCACTCCTTTAGAAAAGGCTGGTAGTTTTACAAACCTCAGTTATTACAAAGCACTTCCCTGTTCCCTAAATCAACCCTGTTCCTAGGGCCCAGTCTGCACACTTCTTGAGCTGCCATTTCCTGCCGCTCCCCACAACTCCCAGCATGTTCTGAGGTACAGAAAGATCTTATTTCCTTTACTTAATATTACTCATCTAATAGTAGTTCTCCAACATGGGTCAGTCGTGTCCAATTAACTTGTCTCTAGAGCTCGAGAACTAGCCGAAATACTCTGTGAACCAGTAACAGGTTTCTTTAGGAGATTAACAGAGAACAGTCAATCTCCTAGAGAATAAGGCTGAGCCATAAACCTCTTTAAAGACAGTTATGAGATATTATTAAAAGTAAAATCCATTCCATTGAGACACTTAACAGCAGAGCCAACCAAGAGCCTAACCACTTCAAAGGATCATTTGGAGGAAGCCAAAGCTATTGTTCAATCAAGGGAGGTGGAGAGGAATGGCTCTATGAGCAGTTCCATCAAAATCCTTGCTACCTAATGTATAAGCGACCTCAGTTTCACAGGTCTATGAAATACTCTGAAGATGTAAGGTGGAGTGTAAGTGCTGAGCTTTCTTATTCAGTAGCCCTTACAAGTGAAATGGGACCCCGTTGTTACATTTATATCCCAGATATGCCCAGGGGCCCAACTTTCGGTGAGACTGCAAGCCTACAGGCAGGCATAGTCAGTATCCCAGCATATAAATATGTGATTAAACAAGTTATAAAGAGTTCTTTAACTAACCTTTAAGTTGTCTGGTCTGATCAAGTTAGATTCAGTAGTCTTGAATCTTGTCTAGACTTGAAAATTAACAAAGATTAAAGCAGAGAAATGTAAGCATCACATTAACGGATCTTGGATAGCTTTATGGCTATGCTGCTTCTGAGCAAGTGATTCCATTAAGTAAGACTAAGATATACCCACACACAGAGTTAATCTATGACACCACTGCTTACAAACAAGCCTTTAGGAAGTCATGTTGTTCTGCTGAAGCTGAGATAGACTGAGAGAACAGCTCCCCTCCAGCCTTGTAGTAGAATCACAGAGCAAGCTGCTTTTCTACCCACCCATCTGAACCTGATCCAATATTCAAAAAATTAACCAGAGCAGTCTGAAGATAAACTTGATCATTTTGGTAGAGCATAAAGAGATGCTGCATGTGCAGCTATGTGGTGTGCCCCAGTAGGAGGTCACCTCTGATGGCAGAGGGGCAGCGACAGACTCTGCGCAGGCAGAGCCAGTGCGTTCCATCATATTCCTGTTCCTCTCTTAAATTAAATTAACTGTCCAGCATCATCTCTAAAAAAATCAGTAAGGCACACCGCAGCCAAGACTAGACAGATCTCAGAGCTATTCTAGTGATTTAGCAATGTGGTAGATAAAAAGCTGCCCCCACTGAAGGCAGTGGGAGAGGTGCTATCAGCTTCAGCAAAGGCTGGACATCACCCAATATTTTAGTTCATTTGAATCTGGCTGAGTGATGCAGTGATTTAGGGGACTGAGAGGAGTCAGAGACAGCTGCCTGCCATCCTGCTTTTCACAGGAGGCCTCTATTTAAGTGACCAAAATAATCTTCTCTGCAGACATATTCACTTGCATCCAAAATAGGTTAAGCAAAAAAAAAAAAAGAAAAAATCAGTAAATTTCTACACATGGGGAGCATGTGTGTCACACAGAGCCAAGCTTTCCATGTGGTACATGCCAGAGACGCTGCAGAACTAGCAGGAGCTGTGTCCTGCTCCTGCCTTGACTGCTGAACAGTGGGCCAGATCTGAAACATCAAAGTTTATGTTAATTATTACCTGCCAGGATATATTTTGGCTCTCCACTAAGCCAGTCTACAAGATCAACAGCTAAATGTAGCTTATAAATTATTCTTTAACTAGCCTTTTTGACAGAGCTTACTATTTTCCATAGTCTATTAAATAAACAGATAGCTAAAGGGGAACAAAGGTTCTTTTGAATAAATTTTGCTGTAGTACTAAAAAAAAAATCTCCAAACTTCCATATTTTATCCCTCAATTGGAAAAGGATGTGATAGGAAATACAATTAGCAGGTATTATCTTTCAGCACAGATGCTATTAGATTACAAAACCAATGAGTACATATTAAGTTTCTCCACCTGTAAGAACTACTATAAATATTTACCACTTTCATTTGCACAAGGGAACAGCCATAGCTTCAGTCATTTCAAGACTGCTTCTTACGAAGGTAGGTTCTAAAAGAGCAAAATAAAGCAAAACCCAAAGGAACAAATGAAAGTGTTCTCTTCTCCCACTGCAGAGAAGACAAGATATTTTTGATATAACACTGTGCACTTTGCAGCCTTACCATCCATCGTTCTGTTTATCTGTATTGACTTCTGTGGAGCTGTTTTTATTTGGCTTACAAATTATTCACATAAAGCTTTCTAGACCTGGCCTTATCCCTATGCACCATACTAAAAGAGATGATGTTTTTTTGAAAGCTCTTTTAAAAGAGCATCATGCAGTATACGAGCAGACCTCCCTTTTTTTCCAAGATAGCTATACAATTCATAGAGCAGAACTACAAACGTTCCAAAATTAACAGTTGCTATGATTATATACATCTGAGTCTGGATTTTAATCGCTTGTCTCCCACAGATTCCACCCATTACATTAATAGCAGAGTTTCATATTAAAATATAGCAATTTCATAGCTGGGGTTTTAGTTTCAATTTCCTGTAGTATTCCAGACCAGAAACATTTTTCTTTAATTTCTCATTTAAGGTTTTGCACTGCGTAGAGAAAAACTGTCATCATAGTCTTCTCCACGCTTTACCCTCTCTACATACCAACAGTTCCCAGATTACTGATCTTCCCTGGAGTCATCCCTAAAGTAAATTAAAAAAAAAAAAAAAAAAAGGAGGGGAGTGGGGAGAAGAGAAAGATCTCCTTATTATACAGAGAAGTATAGTAGTATCTTTGTCTAAGAAGTCTTCTCTGACAGAAATCAATACGAAGGATAGGAAATCAAGATGAGGTTTTTATTACCAGAGATAGCCTCAAGAATCACAGGGGAGAGCTTCATACACAGGCTTTGCTGTAATGTATCTTATGCCCTCTAGCTGTAACAAATTATGCTGTGAATTTCTTGGAGGATTTATATGCTGCTGCTCAGTGCTCT